TTTAAACTCAAAAGCATATGAAAGTGATTATTGATAAATAAAAATAAATTAATAAAAATTTTTTTAAAAAAGAATTAAAAAAATAAAAAAATAAAATAAAAATGTAATAAAGTTATCACATAAATTTCTTTTTTCTCCCCTTCCTTCTGCTCTCCCCACTTCCCACGCCCCAAGCTGGCTACTATTAGACACAGATATGTGTGTATATACACACATATATATGTAAAATCATTCTATACATCTATTTATCAGTTCTCTGGATGCAGATAGTATGTTCCTTCATGTGTCCTTTGTAGTTAATTTGAATATTTAGAATAGTTAAAATTACTTATTTGCTTAAAGTTGTTCTTAAAACAATATTGCTGTTGCCGTATAGCACATTCTCTTGGTTCTGCTCATTTTGGTCTTCTTTATTTCACACACGTCTATCCATGTTTTTCTAAGATCACTGAGCTCATCATTTCTTATAACACAGCGGTACTCCATCACAATCATATACCACAACAACATTGGCCTTCTTGGCAGTCATATCATACATGATGCATATTAAGCTTGTGGTCCACTAAAACCACCAGATCTTTTTCAGATTCACTGCTGTCTACTCATGCTTCCCCCAGTGACAGCAGGTTCTCCTTTCTTGACTCCTCATTCTCCCTTCCACCAAATGTCCAACCAGTGACTGAATCTCCTTATTTCTCCCTCCACAACATCTCTTATCCCCGACTCTTTCTCTCTTTCTGTTCTCACAGCTCTTCTGACCTGTCACTGCCCATCTTTACCTGTGGAGTTCCCCAATTGGTGAGAGAGAAAAATTCACAGTAGCAACACCAGGGGGGGACATGGTACTAGTCCGCTGGGCAAAACCAGGGCACCCTGAGCAGGTGGTACAGTTGGAGTAAATGCAACCCTGAGGCCCTGTGGGCAGTGGCACCCTGCCCAGTACTCATCTCCAGCTGACAACTTACTTTCAGCTGGGGTGTTGGGGTCACTCCTCTGCATCAAGCAGGGCCAGAGCCTTTTAAACCGCACTTCCTAGGGAGGTCTGTGGCTGGCTACACGTGCACCCTCAGAGACTCCCAGGGATGGAGGCCAAAGCCAGGTCACTAGAAAGCCCAGTCTGGAAAGGCTTGGAATGCCATGTATTGATGATTGGGAACTAAACAGACCCTTCCACTACATCCTAGCTGGTCTCCTTATGTCTACCAAACCCTTCAGAGTGCTTTCTTCTCCACCAGCTCCAAAGTCTTACTACTATCTTAGAGGACTGCTGGTAGGGACCTTGGAACAGACAATGTCAGTAGTGAAAGATAACTCCAGGATCCTTTGGGCCATGCTCCTCATGTTACAGAGAGAGATAGGAAAGTCCATGGAGGTGAAAGGAATTTGTTTAATGTTCCATAGCCCTTAACTAGCAGGGAAGTTTGAACCTGAAGCTCCTGACTCAGTATTTAATGCTCTCCAAGGTGAAGCCCTTGCCAAGTTGCCTAGCAAAGGAATGTCTGTTATACTCGAGAATGTAGGGACAGAAGGGCAACTAAGTGGTGCAGTGGATAGAGCTCTGACCCTGGAGTCAGGAGGACCTGAGCTCAAATCTGGCCTCAGACACTCACTAGCTATGTGACCCTGGGCAAGTCACTTAACTCCGATTGCCCGCCTTCCTCCCCCTGCAAAAAAAGAATGTAGGGACAGAGAGTAGATTATTGCTATTGATGGGGAGGGGAAATGTGGTGATGAGGAAAGCACATTGTATTTACAGTGAGAAGATCCGGGTTCAAATCCCAGGTCTGCAAATTATCAACTGGATGACTTTGTGTAAGACTCCTCCCCAATCTGGGACCTCAATGCTCTCCCCCTGATTTGAGGTGGATGGGTTATATGACCTCCAAAGGCTATAGAGTGTGTGGGAATATCACTAAGACTAAGAAA